TTTTCAAGTGTGTGACATCACATGCATATTGTTTTAGAAGAATTCAGTTACATTTTTAATTAATTTTGTTATTGAAATGTATGTAAGACTGTGACAGAATTTCATCTTTTATTTGGTTATTTAAATATAACAGGTTAACGATTATTAAATCAAATCACTGCTATATTTTCTGCGATATTTCAGAATTCCTGTCAAATCAAATGTTTGAAATCTCTTTAATCGCTTGAATTATGTTTCACGAAAGGAACAGTTGGAGCACGCCGAGGTGAGCACGGCCCTGCGGTACCTGGGTCAGTACTATTTCAAGAACAAACTCTACGAAGAGGCGTCGCTGTGCGCTCAGCGCTGCTGCGATTACAACGACGTAAGTCTGTCAACGTGATCGACACTTGTTTTATTTTTTTATATATTATCGTTTTAAACAACGTTCCGTTCTCTGTGTTTACAGGCCCGTGAGGAGGGAAAAGCCTTGTTGAGGCAGATCTCACAGGTCCGGGATCAGATCGAGACGCCGTCGACGGATCTGTTCGCTCCGCTCTCCAACAACACTCCAGCCAGGAGAGTATCTCCTCTCAACCTCATCTCCTTCACACCATGACACACACTGCTGCCATCACGGGCCGTTCACTGGAGAACTGGGCCTGTGATGGTGCGATTTGTTCTGGGACATTTAAGAGACTGGGTCAACCTGTGTTTGAGGGATTGACCCCTGGGTCAACACACACACCTACACACACCTGCAGCTGTTGTTGTTGTTGTAAATATACAGGTTAAAGGATTCGGTAGGTTGTGAATTAGACAAACTCTGGATTTTTGGAATGCATTTTGTAAAAGCAAAGAGACAGATTTTCAAGTATTTAATGTCTGTGGACAAAATGTACAAAATAATAAAAAAAGAGAAGAAGAACAGACATGCAGTGCAGAGGAAAGACACACGGAATTATTTACAGACGCAAAACAAAACGGTAGCATCTCTGCGGTGAAGTGGGGGTGACACACACGTTACACACACACACACGTGTTAAAACATCTCACGCTCTCGTCACTAGTCCAAGTAAAAACAACACATTTGAATGAACAACATTGCATAAAGAAATGTGTAGAAAAGGCAGTAAATATATAGTTTGTTAATCCACACGTATTCATTTGGTATCAGTGGTGAAAAAAAAAAAAGTTATAAAGTGAACAGGAAGGAGTCTGTAAGTGGAGAGAGAACTGTGTACCTCAGGAATGGGAGTATTTTCAAACAGTATAAAGTATTTTTTTACATATATATTTTTGTCTTTGTATCAGGATAACAAGTGGGGCCAAAAAAAAAAAAAACTTAAAAATTGGTCCAAATCTGACACAGTTCCACTCCACTGACACGCTCTAACAGCAATCATGAATGTGCATAATATTTGGAATAATAATAATAATAAAAATGTCTCCATCCTCAGTGTCGCTGACGTCGTCTTCCTCCTCCAGCAGCGAGCTCTCGTTGCCGTCGCGTGTCGTTTCACGCAGCAGCGACAGGATGTAGGCCACTCTGGTTTTGGTGGCTGGACCGTGGACCAACTGGAATTTCAACAACAGATTTTCACGCGTGATTAAATGTCAGCAAAATGGTAAAAAAAAAAAGGATCAGTACTTCCCCCTGAGTCCACGGGGGGTGAGGACGGGGCTGGGGGGAGGAGAATGCTGGCGAGAACGCAGGATGCGAGAGTACGGCGTCACGTGCTCTTCCTGAACGCCACGCGTGTTGTACTTGCGCGACGGGAACAGAGACTGGAAGAACTGTCGTTTGGTCGGCGGCCTGTTTTCAGTGTCTGGTGTTGCCGCGGCGGCGGCGCCGCAGCCCCTCCTCTTGCAGGAGCCCGGCGTGGCGGGGGCAGTGAAGGTCCTCGGGGGCAGCTGGGACCCGGCTGCGGCCTGTGCCGTCTTGGCCAGGGTCTCCGCTTTCCGCCTCATGTCGGATTTGACCAGCGCCAGGCTGTTCTGCAGCTCCATCAAGACCTGGTCCTGGGAAGGGAGTCAGTGATCAGGGTTAGGTGAGAACACCGAGCAGGAAGTGAAGTTAGGTTAAAGTTGTTTTTTTTTTTTGGAGAATAGAAGTGACAGAAGGACAAACGCAGCCCCTGAGATCAGCGCCCTCTGCAGGTGTTAGTGACTTTGATTCATCTAAAAAGCAGCCTGTGCATCGTGATTGTTAATGAAGAGGATCAGAGGAGGACAAAGAGAAATGGGATCAAAGTGTTAGTTGAAATGAAGTGGTGCCATTTAAAAAAAAAAAAAAACAACAGAAAAACATTTACAGCAGTAAATCCAATGGAGACTGGACTTGACTTTTTTTTTTCTCACCCCTCGATTTAAGTAAGGTTTGATTTTCTGGACTGACTCTGTGGTCGTGTGTGTTGCTTGTGTTTTCCCTTCACCTCTTTATCAGTTTTTGGTCAAAAAAATATTTAACAGTAGTATAAAGAGTTGGTGGCTGGAAAAAACGTCATGCTTAGATTTACGACCCTGATCTCCTCAAAACTCTCTGCCAACAGTTGAATTAATCTGCTCAAAACTCTCTGCCAACAGTTGAATTCCCAGGAAACTAAAGTATTTAAGATCATAATTTAAACTCATTCATTTTCTTTTTTTAATCCAACGGCATAACTCCCCCAAATCATTCAAGGACTTTGGTAATTCCTAATTCCTAGTGTCGTCGTTGTCGTCTTGTTTTATTTCATGTTCACCTGTTTGACCAGCGTCTCGTCCGCTGTGTTCAACGTCTGCCTCAGACGTTCTCCTCCCGTGTTCCGACAACATGCTCGCTCCCCGGACTGGAGGTCCACACCCAACTTCTGCAGGTTCTCACGTAGTTGACGCAGATTCTGTTAGAAAATAGAATCGGAATTTAACTTAATTAAGAAAGTCTTAAGGAGTGGGGGGGGATTGTTGGGGGGATGCATCTACTGACCCTTTGACCTTCCTCAAGCTTGCGCTCAGCTGCGCTCGTCAGCGCGCCGGCCGACCCTGGCACCTCCAGCTGCAGTTTCAGCTTAGTCAGCTCTGTGTGAACAGACAAGACAACAGACAGTCAGTGACTCTGGGTTTGGTTTGTTTTTTTTTTTTAGCTTTGACTCTGTGGTGTCAGAATTACGTTCAAACACCACACGGTGGCGCTGCTGTATGTTATTGTTGGTCATAATGGTGGTTCACAGTTCTGGAAGTTTACAGTAAGGATCCACTGAGTTGTGGATTTCAAATTCAAACTTTGACTTTCTAACACACATATATACTGCCCCCATCAGGGCAGTCATCAAACTGCACCTTGCGTCTTGTTGAACAGCTCAGCCTGGCACTGCTCCAGGTCGGCACGCATCTTGCTGACGTCTGTGAGAGTGCTCAGTCTCTGGGAACGCCGAGGCCCGTCCCCCGGTGGCAGCCGCGGCGGCTCCGACTCCTTTTCTTTGTGCTTTTCCAGCGCGGCAGACAAAGCCTCGATTTCCTGATCTCGCTCCTGGAAGAAAAGATTGGAGAGAACATTCCACGTCAGGTCGATTCAGTATCAAACCTTAAACCACAGCAGCTGAGAAAGATGTTACAGATAATGTGTGTGTGAGTGTGTGTGTGTGTGTGAGAGACAACACTGCAGCTTAGAGTGAACACAAAGGACCGGGTCTCACCTTCAGCTCCTCGCTGTAGAACTTCTTCAAATGTTTCTGCAGGTTGTTTATCTTGTCCTCGTATCTCTCCTCGATCAGAGCTCTCTGCGAATCCAAGGTCTCGCTGTGAAAAGCCAAGAAAGTTTCTGTTAAGAACTTAAAATGTTCATGAGCCTCTTTCATAGTTCAATGTCAGGAATGTGGCGCTGAGTGACGGCCGGGGTTTGATACCATTTCAGTACGAAAGTAAATGCGAAAAAGATTTTGTTTTTCAGTTCACAATTGACAAAACATCAACAAATACCAAAAAGTAAAATCATAAAATAAAATCCTCGGTGCGGCAGGAAGCGTGGTATATTTCAGGAAGCATATTTCTGTTCTGACACGGCCTCCTCCATGTTTGACATGTGACCAGCAGTGCAGACAATATTTTTACAAAAACGTCACGTTTCTTCACTGCTACTGAAATTTACAGGAATTAGAAGAAATAAATCGCTTCCTTTTGAGGTTGATCTGTGCTAAACGCTAACTGAATAACGTGATCCTGTGACAAAGGCTAAAATATAAATCACTGATGTCTGACACACACACACACACACACCTGAAGCCGTCCTGCATCTCGTTGATGACCTCCATCATCTCACAGACCACCTGCTCCCTCACGTTGGCCTCCAGGAGCTCCTTCTCCTCCCGCTGACGCTGCACTTCTCTCTTCAGAACATCTATGGCCTGAAGCAGAGCCTTGAAGGACAGTCCAGTGTTAGTGTTAGCAGCAGAGGATCCATCAGTAGATGGACACACACACACACACACACACAGATGGTGTTACCTCAGTGTTTAACATGGTAATGTCTCCATCCTCAGTGTCGCTGACGTCGTCTTCCTCCTCCAGCAGCGAGCTCTCGTTGCCGTCGCGTGTCGTTTCACGCAGCAGCGACAGGATGTAGGCCACTCTGGTTTTGGTGGCTGGACCGTGGACCAGCTGGAATTCCAACAACAGATTTTCACGCGTGATTAAATGTCAGCAAAATGGTAAAAAAAAAAAGTGGAAAATGAAACAGCAGCGTTTCCCACCTGCGTGGCGATCGCAGAGAACTTCAGGGCCTGCAGAGTCTCGTCGTAGATGGAGGCACATGGGTTGATGTTGACCACCATGCAGGAGGTTCCTCGGCCACAGAAGTAGCCCTGCAGCACGCGCGTCAGTTTGCTGTCCCTGAAGGGCACCACCTGCGGCAGTCGAGACCTGCGGAGGGAGAAGATCTCCGTCATCTACGTCTACGACTTTTTCCCTGCAGTGAAACGACACCAGGTTCTAGAATCATCAGGTGGAAAAAAAAGAAAAGAAAATCCTACTTCAGATTCTGGTTGTTCCTCAGAGCAGCGATGCAGCGTCCCAGTGTTAACAGGGAGGTGTTGATGTTGTTGGCCTCCTTCATCCTCTCCCCGTTCCTCTGCTCTTTGCAGCGCTCAGAGCCGGCCAGGTCGCACACAGTCAGTCTGACACAAGACAAAAAAATTTTGACTCAGCAACACTCTGGAATATGAGTACATCCAATATATGTAAAAAAAAAATAGAGAGACATACTCGCTGATGTTCGTGGCCTGACCAACAGATCCCTCTGGGCGGACGTGCAGGATACGGACGGAGAAGATGCTGTGGCTGTGGAACGTTCACAGACATTTGAATGTTTAGGATAATCCAGACAGTAAATCACTGGGTTTCCAATAATCCTGTTTGATGTCAACACACCTGCGGCTGGAGTTATGGTTGAGGTGAGTGCTGGCGAAACTCTGGTTACAACGGCCGGCCTTCAGGATCTTCCAGGCTTCCTCTGCGCTGCGGACCTGGATCCAGGTCAGGTCTGGAAAAAAAAAAATAAAAAAAAACGAAAAAATCAAAATCGTCAAAAAGAAAAAAAAAAAAAAAAACAAAAACA